CACTAAACTGGTTCCAGTACGTCATGGACGTAATTTGGGGGGGGGGGGGGGGTACAGGGGGGACATGTCCCCCCACTTTTTCCAAAGTCAAGTTTTGACCCCTGCGCTTTTTACCATCCAAAAACAATATTACTTTATATTAAATTGACACTGGTTGAGCTCTAGGACCAAGCAGAAAACAACCGTTTGTGTTGAAGCCTGTTTCCCATTAAAACATACTGTAAAGATACCCCCCTCCCCCCCCCCCCCCCCCGTGTCCCCCCCACTTCTGAAGTGAAAATTACGTCCATGCAGTACGTCCACACATTAATGCTGAAACCTCAGCGAGAAAACAAACGTTCCCTCTGCGGGTGAAAACGTTAGCACACATCAAAAAGAGGTCTCTACAGCTGAGAATAGGACTTCTACATTTAAAATAATGTCATTCGAAGCAACAAAAACCTGCAGAGAGACGTGTAGGAATGATTTTTAGGCTGTGACATCAGCCTGAGCAGAAACGCTTCTCTACAGACACAAAGAGGCAGGCTGGCTGGAACCGACACATCTAAGGAAGCAAGGCGGCTGGGCGTAGAAATGCAGCAGAAAACAACACGAAGCCGGCCTCACCAGGACGGGCCTGAGCCGCGCTCTGGATGTGGAATGAAAATAAAGTGACAGCAGAGAAGTGGATTATGTAATGATGTTTTTGCTGTGAAACGGGGTCAACATCTGTTACTGGTATTTCTTGTTTTTAACGAGTAAAGCGCACGTGTTGTTTTAGCCCCCCCCCCCCCCCCCCATATGTCGTGTGGTATTTAGCCAGCGTGGTTTGCAACTTTAGAAAAATAGTTCATTTTCTGTGACAGGTTGTCTTAGAAACCTTTAAAAAAGTTTTTTTTTTTTAAGTTTCTGTTATTTAAAGGTGTGGGACACTCATTTCATACATTTGCATACAGTGCAGGTAGGAATAAATGCCTTGCAAGTTTCACGGGGGGGCTCAGATGCCCCTGTTTCAGGAACTAGAAGTGAGCCACATCAGATCCTGAGCTTCAGACGACAGGATCTGGAGTCTTACTTCCTGATATTCGGACATCTCTCCTCTGATTGGCCAACAGCAACATGACTCCACGACTGACTCTGGTTGCTCTGAAACTTTGATGTTGTATTTCCCACAAGTAACACAAGCCAGGAGGAGTTCTGCTGTGTGGTGGAGTTGCTAATGCTAACAGTTAGCTTCTACTAGCTGAGACGTTCTCTGCTGTTTCCTGGACGCTAAACCAACAACAGCCTTCCCCGTCGTGAGTCCAGACGGGTGAGTCCATGAATGTTAGTGACAGGGTGACGTAGATCTGTCAGGATTTTCTAATCCTAGAGTTTCACCGTCTGTTTTCTATCAGAAGCTAATGCAGGAGATAGGTGTAGGAGACTATCTTCATGTTCAGCCTGCATGTGAAACCCAGAGTGACCCGTTAGAATAAGAAATGATCAATAAAAAGGGTTTTTCGGTGAACCACACCTTTAAAGAAACAAGCCTTAACTCAGATCTACAACAAAAAACCTTAAGTTACACGTTAATCATGATTTTTTTATGTTTCAGTTGCCGTTGCTTCCTGCTTCTTTGAATCTTTGACACTCAGCAACTACAAAATCTCAACAGCGCATCCTGAGAAAAACACAAGTAGACCTGTGTGTGCTGCTCTCAGACAGCACCAACATTTCACTCGTCTCGTCTCGTCTTCCTCCGCTTATCCGGGTCCGGGTCGCGGGGGCAGCATCCCAACTAGGGAGCTCCAGGCCGTCCTCTCCCCGGCCTTGTCCACCAGCTCCTCCGGCAGGACCCCAAGGCGTTCCCGGACCAGATTGGAGATGTAACTTCTCCAACGTGTCCTGGGTCGACCCGGGGGCCTTCTGCCGGCAGGACATGCCCGAAACACCTCCCCAGGGAGGCGTCCAGGAGGCATCCTGACCAGATGCCCAAACCACCTCAACTGGCTCCTTTCGATCCGGAGGAGCAGCGGTTCTACTCCGAGTCCCTCCCGAATGTCCGAGCTCCTCACCCTATCTCTAAGGCTGAGCCCGGCCACCCTACGGAGGAAACTCATTTCGGCCGCTTGTATCCGCGATCTCGTTCTTTCGGTCATTACCCAAAGCTCATGACCATAGGTGAGGATTGGGACGTAGATCGACCGGTAAATCGAGAGCCTGGCTTTCTGGCTCAGCTCCCTCTTCCCCACGACAGATCGGCTCAGCGTCCGCATCACTGCAGACGCCGAGCCAATCCGCCTGTCGATCTCCCGATCCCTCCTACCCTCACTCGTGAACAAGACCCCGAGATACTTAAACTCCTCCACTTGAGGTAGGACCTCTCCCCCGACCCGGAGGTGGCAAGCCACCCTTTTCCGGTCGAGAACCATGGTCTCAGATTTGGAGGTGCTGATCCTCATCCCAGCCGCTTCACATTCGGCCGCGAACCTACCCAGCAAGAGCTGAAGGTCAGAGCTGGATGAAGCTAGGAGGACCACATCATCCGCAAAAAGCAGAGACGAGATTCTCCTGCCACCAAACTCGACACACTCCACACCACGGCTGCGTCTAGAAATTCTGTCCATAAATGTGATGAACAGAACCGGTGACAAAGGGCAGCCCTGGCGGAGTCCAACCCTCACTGGGAACAGGTCCGACTTACTACCGGCTATGCGGACCAAACTCACGCTCCTCTGGTAAAGGGACTGAATGGCCCTTAACAGAAAGCCACCCACCCCATACTCCTGGAGCGTCCCCCACAGGGTGCCCCTGGGGACACGGTCATAAGCCTTCTCCAAATCCACAAAGCACATGTGGATTGGTTGGGCAAACTCCCATGCCCCCTCCATCACCCTTGCAAGGGTATAGAGCTGGTCCACAGTTCCACGGCCAGGACGAAAACCACATTGCTCCTCCTCTATCTGAGATTCAACTATCGATCGGACCCTCCTCTCCAGTACCTTGGAGTAGACCTTTCCAGGGAGGCTGAGGAGTGTGATCCCCCTATAGTTGGAACACACCCTCAGGTCACCCTTCTTAAAGATGGGGACCACCACCCCGGTCTGCCACTCCCTAGGAACTGCCCCCGATGACCACGCAATGTTGTAGAGACGTGTCAACCATGACAGCCCTACAACATCCATAGCCTTGAGATACCCAGGACGAACCTCATCCGCCCCCGGGGCTCCGCCGCTGTGTAGTTGTTTGACTACCTCAGCAACTTCTGCCCCCGAGATCGGACAGTCCATCCCCAGGCCTCCCAGCTCTGGTTCCTCCTCGGAATGCGCATTGGTGGGATTGAGGAGCTCCTCAAAGTATTCCTTCCACCGTCCGACTATAGCCTCAGTTGACGTCAGCAGCTCCCCATCCCCACTGTAAACAGTGTGAGCGAGTTGCTGCCTTCCTCTCCTGAGGCGCCGGACAGTTTGCCAGAACCTCTTTGGAGCCGATCGATAGTCTTTCTCCATGGCCTCACCAAACTCCTCCCACGCCCGAGATTTTGCCTCGGCAACTGCCACTGCTGCACCCCGCTTGGCTATCCGGTACCTGTCTGCTGCCTCCGGAGACCCACAGACCAGCCACGCCCTGTAGGCCTCCTTCTTCAGCCTGACGGCTCCCCGAACCTCTGGTGTCCACCAGCGGGTACGGGGGTTGCCACCACGACTGGCACCGGCCACCTTACGACCACAGCTAGCAACAGCCGCCTCGACAATCGCAGAGTGGAACAAGGCCCACTCGGACTCAATGTCCCCCACTGCTCTCGGGACGTGGTCAAAGCTCTGCCGGAGGTGGGAGTTGAAGACCGTCTTGACAGGTTCTTCTGCCAGGCGTTCCCAGCAGACCCTCACTATGCGTTTGGGTCTGCCAGGTCTACGCGGCATGTTCCCTTGCCATCTGATCCAACTCACCACCAGGTGGTGATCAGTTGACAGCTCCGCCCCTCTCTTCACTCGGGTGTCCAAAACATACGGTCGCAGGTCAGATGATACGACTACAAAATCTATCATCGACCTGTGACCTAGGCTGCCCTGGTACCAAGTGTACCGGTGGGCATCCTTATGTTCGAACATGGTGTTCGTTATGGCCAAACTGCGGCTTGCACAGAAGTCCAATAACAAAACACCGCTCGAGTTCTGATCAGGTGGGCCGTTCCTCCCAATCACACCCCTCCAGGTCAAGCTGTCATTGCCCACGTGAGCATTGAAGTCCCCCAGCAGGACAATGGAGTCCCCTGATGGAGCACTATCTAGCACTCGTCCCAGGGACTCCAAAAAGGGTGGGTACTCTGAACTGATATTTGGCCCATACGCACAAACAACAGTCAGGACCCGTTCCCCGACCCGAAGGCGCAAGGAAGCTACCCTCTTGTCCCCCGGGGTAAACCCCAACACACAGGCAGAGAGTCTCGGGGCTAACAAAAAGCCAACCCCAGCCCTCCGCCTCTCACCCGGAGCAACTCCAGCAAAGTAGAGTGTCCAACCCCTCTCCAGGTCTCGGGTTCCAGAGCCAATGCAATGTGTCGAGGTGAGTCCGACTATATCTAGCCGGTACCGCTCAACCTCTGCCACAAGCTCCGGCTCCTTCCCCGCCAGCGAGGTGACGTTCCATGTCCCAAAAACTAGTTTCCTTGTCCGGGGATTGGACCGCCAAGGCTCCCGCCTTGGTCTGCCACCCGATTCACATTGCACCGGACCCTTCATGTTCCTCCTGCGGGTGGTGGGTCCACAGTTGGACGAGCCCATGTATCCGGTTCGGGCTGGGCCCGGCCGGGCCCCATGGGCGAAAGCCCGGCCACCAGGCGCTCGCTCACGGGCCCCAACCCCAGGCCTGGCTCCAGGGTGGGACCCCGGTAACCCTCCGGGCCGGGTACTCCGACTCTTCGTTTTCACCGCCATGAAAGATCCTTCGAACCGTTCTTTGTCTCACCCTTCACCTAAGACCAATTTGTCATGGGAGACCCTACCAGGGGCACTAAAATACTCAAATAATCAAATATAATTTCAAGCTATTAAAACATTTCAATTTATGTCTCACACCATCTAAAGAAGGAGTTCTACTTGTGATGAAACTCTTGTGCTTTTCTCTTCATTTGTTACAAAAATAGATCATTTTTAGGTGTAACCACGAGTCTCATGGTCCTGTGTGTCCATGTGTGTGTGTGTGTGTGCGTGCTTGGATCTCCTGTTGGATCATCAGTGAGTGGTCCCCGGCAGCAGCTCAGCCTCGGATGCAAACAGCTCCTTGTAGAGCGGAGGAAACAGAGAGTGAGCGGTGAGAGGATGTCTCTGGGTGAACCAGCGCAGCTTCTCCATGTGCAGGCGGCACAGCGAATGCAACACCGCCATCCTCTGGTGCAGCTGCAGAAAGGACACACAGCTTTAGATAGGCGTCCCTTCATGGATGCACCCATCCCTTTCTGGTAAGGCTTGTGGATTTATTTAAGATTTGCTTTCCACAGCATTGTTTTCCCTTTTGCTGCATTAACTAAATAAAAACATCTACTAGTAAAACTTTTGCCCGGCTAATCAAACTACTGTCGTTTGCCAGTGCCAGACTGGTGAGCCTAAAATCTAAATGAGCTGGCTTTTTCCTTCACTGCTCTAACAAGTATACACACCTGGTTAAAATATTGCATTAACTGTTCCTGACGAGCCTAATTTCAAGTTTCTGAATGACAACGCATTTTAGTTCAAAAGCTGACATTTTATAAAACACTTTTAAATCAATAATGCTGCAAAACAAGGTCAACTAGTCAGATTTGTGTCCCTCAGATGTTAACTAGAAAGACTCACTAATAAACCATTTTGCCTAATTTTGGCCTTACTAGATAAGTAGAGAAACACCAACGGCTCACTGAGCAGTTACTGTTTTATTTAATTTTTTTTACTATATGACTGCAGAAATAGACGTTTAACCTAGAAAGGTCACTCTTCCTGCAGCAGCTGTTTTTATTTAGGCTTCACTGTAAAGTTTTTTCAAGCAGAGACAAACAAATATCTGATGGCTTAAATCATAATATGAGCAGAGTTCAGAGAAATTCAATCAGGAGCACCAGTGACACTGCACTGAGGAGTAAATACACAAATGGCTTGCCGTATCCTCTTATGTACCTCATGCATCAGACTTTCCTGGTTTTCTCGGTGAAGAATGTGTGTGAGTCCCAGCTCCACGCTCCTCTGCACCCGCTGAACTCTGCCTCTGTCCTCCAGACTCGGGCGGTCTGCACACAGATTTATTTTTTAGGTGTAGGCAGGTGTGTGCAGTTGTTTCCGTCAATGCAAAACAAGATTTGGTGCTTAAATAAATTCATGATTTAATCAAGTTGTTTTTTCCCGCAACAGTTAGCAGCATGGCTTCAGGGGCTGGAGTCATTTATGTTTGAACCTGTTATTGGTTGGGGCATTTATTTGTGGGTTTTCGGTATTTCACCCCGCGCATCTGTCTGTTTCCTCCTACACTGGAAATAATCCCATGTTGGTTTTAGTGGTGGTGATGGGCTTCAGTTCTGCGTGAGTCTAGATTTACCTTTGAGAGGGAAACTCGAGCGCTGCACCGTTAAAATGAAATAATACAAGTGAGCTCTTAACTAACTTTGGCACGTTTGCTTTTGACTTAAATGTTGATTATTTTGCACCCTTTAAGTGTTAAAATATTTTTACTTTTCGTCAAAGAAAGCTTTATCAACATTTTTTTGGGAGGGGGGTTTCACTGGGTTTTGGGTTTTAGTGCCAGAAAACAAATCTGCAAAAGACCTCGAATAAAAAAAAAACCTAAAATTCACCCTTAATGGCGTTTCCAAAGGTGTGGCTCACTGAAAAAACCTTTTAATGATTATTTCTTTTTCTAACGGGTCACTCTGAATGTTTCATGCAGGCTGAACATGAAAATAGTCTCCTACACCTATCTCCTGCATTAGCTTCTGACAGAAAACAGACGGTGAAACTCTACGATTAGAAAAGCCTGACAGATCTATGTCACCCTGTCACTAACATTCATGGACTCACCCATATAGACTCATGACGGGGAAGGCTGCTGTTGGTTTAGCGTCCAGGAAACAGCAGAGAACGTTTCAGCTGGTAGAAGCTAATCGTTAGCATTAGCGACTCCACCACACAGCAGAACTCCTCCATGGTTATGTTATTTGTGGAGATAAAACATCAACGTTGCAGACCAGAGTCAGTGGAGTCGTGTTGCTGTTAGCCAATCAGAGGAGAGATGTCCGAATATCAGGAAGTAAGACTCCAGATCCTGCCATGTTTAGCTTAAAGAGCAAGTCACCCCCTACCAGAGTCTTACCCCTGCTTTCCACCGGAGCCGTCAGCAGCACGTTACTGCAGCAGCATGTCTTGCTTGCGTAAGCTGCTGCTTGGTCCTTCCCACGAGACGGGAAGCAGCAGGGGAGCAGCTGTCACCGACCGAGCACGAAGTCACACGAGTGACTTCGTCAGTAAACACAACAACAAGCAGGAGAAAATCACAACATGGCTCCAAAAGGTTTGTGTTTTATGTTCTGTCCGTTTTATAATCGCCAATACGGACCTGAAAAACAAAGGAGACCGCTAGCTAGGTGATAACTTCTCACGGGGCCGCACAGTTAGCAATTTTTTTTAAAAGTAAAACAACCGGAAGGCAGTACGTTTCTTTATTCTGAAAATCTCGCGAGCCTCTCTCCATTTCCGCGTCCGATTTCCTGTCTTTCCTTCCCCAAAAATGTCGAACTTGACCCGTTTCAGAGGCGTCGCGCGTAGAAAATAGAACCGGCGCGTAAAGGTTCTGTTGACCACAGCGGTTCCTACTAGCAGCTATGACGTGCTGCTGCAGTAACGTGCTGCTGACGGCTCCGGTGGAAAAGGTTCTGTTGACCACAGCGGTTCCTACTAGCAGCTATGACGTGCTGCTGACGGCTCCCGTGGAAAGCAGGGGTAACTCCACTCCCACTTCATGTTAGAGAAAATGCAACAAATGCTGTTGCCTGGCAGACCGAGAGGGCGGAGTCGCTAACACACACACACACAGGCTCACAACGACGTTTTGACATCATAATGCACCAGCTAATGTCATTGTGTACCTCTTAGCCAATAGCGATGGCAGATTTAAAATCAAATACAGTGCAGAGTTTTTACCTGACGGCACAACACTGACAGTTTTAGGCAGAATATTTAAATTTTTATTAAGCTGCACTAAAGTGCCAAATTATTGACTACACGTGTCTGCAGCACGATTAGACACTCATTTAGATAGTTTATCAGCAAAAACAAGTTGATTTGGGGGTGACTTGCTCTTTAACTCTGATCTAGCATTCTGCTAGTTCCTGAAACTGGTCCACTGGGACATTTTCCCCCCGAGATAACGACTAAGTAGGTATTCATTCCCACTAGAGACAACTGCTGATGCATTGATTAAACGAGTGTTCCACACCAAAACATAGGCGTGTTGTCTCTGAATCACTTTGTAATAAATGGTGAGAGCCAAACAAGTCTGCTTGGAGGATGTTAAACGAAGCATGAGGTGTTTTTTATTCCCATTTTTGACCAGTGGAGGAAAGTTGGACTGGATGATCTGGACCTACTCCGTTTTGCTTCCAAGCACAAATATGCAGCGAGTAAAAGAAAAAACCTGAAATCTCACTGAATGACTACTGGTTGGCAAACGGACTAGTTTTTGTGTGGAAAACTATAAACATATCTGGGTAAAAGTGAGCTGTGCATCGTACGTCTTAACTATGTGAAAATCTAAAAATAAAAATTTGAACTTGCATTAGTAAATTTAAAGAGCAAGTCACCCCCTACCAGAGTATTACTCCGCTCCCACTTCCTGTTTGAAAAACGTAACAAATGCTGTTGCCTGGCAGACCGAGAGGGCGGAGCCGCTAACAAATACACACATACAGGCTCACAACGACATTGTGACATCATTTGGTACCAGCTAACGTTCTAGGGTACCTCTTAGCCTATAGCGATGGCAGATTTAAATTCAAATGCAGTGCAGAGTTTTTACCTGACGACGGCACAACACTGACAGTTTTAGGCAGAACATTAACATTTTAACTAAAATGCACTAAAGTGCAAAACTACTGACTACACGTGTCTGCAGCACGATTAGACACACATTTATATAGTTTATCAGGAAAAAAGGTTGACTGGGGGTGACTTGCTCTTTAAACATTTCTTCCATTTTTCACTGGTTTAGAAAATAAAAGCCCTGAACTGAAACATGATAATGAGGCGGGCTGAACCCATCTCACCTGCGTTGATCAGCACCAGAGCACTGAAGAGGGCGATCTGCTGCTCTGTGAGCTGTAGAGCACACATACCCCGAGCAAAGTCGAACAACGCCGTGATTAAATCACCGCACACTTGGAGAAAAGACACCACAAAGCTCGGATAAGTCACCAGGAACACGTGCTCCAGCCATTTCACACGTTTAGGGAAGTTTTACCCAGAGACTCGAAAACTTCTGTTCCAGCAAATTTCCCATCAAAGAACACGGTGTTGTTCTCTGTGTTAAAGAAACGACACATCCGGACCAGAACCACCTCCATCGAGCCTATGAGGGCAACAAATCCATTAGTAAACCCTTTTTTATTATTATTCTTGTTTTGGAGGAGAGCCAAGGCTCGCCTGTCTTCAGGAGGGTGATCTGGTCGTTCTGGCTGAGCAAACGGAAACCTGGGATGTGTTTTGCAAACTCCACCACATACTGCACAGCATCAGTGAGACGAATGGAGCAGTGCTGCCACATCTCATCCGCCGTCTAGGAAAAAGAAAGACAGGGAGAAGATGTTTTTTCTTTCTGCAGCAGGTTTAAATGATCTGAGACTTTAAAATAATCCCACTCACACCTCTTTATATTCAAAAACTACTGCGATCAAAGACAGAGGAGGAGGGGGAAGTGGTGATAAGACAGTTTTCTGTTTGACTCATCAACCAAACGCTATGAGAAACAGCTAGTTTTCTGTTTGTCTCAGTCACACAAGAGGAAGGGGAGATCTGGTTGGCGGTACTTTGCTCTGGTAGGCCTGGATCTCCTCCCTGGTGAACAGCTTCCATCTGAGGGCTTGCAACTCCTCCAGTCTGTACTGGGTGGTCTCTCTGTGGGAGCGCACAATGCTGGCACACAGGTCATCTGAAAACACGCCAACGCAGATGTTACCGTGAAACATGGCGTTAATTTCGGCCCACTCCTCATGGGTTCTCACCTATGCTTCTGGGGGAATAAGGATAGAGGCTGTACAGATCATCGAGAGAGTTGTAGGGATGAATCGCCACGAGATCGGGGGATTGTTGCCGGGAGTCAAATCCTGATAGAAAGAAAAGGGGAAATCATAAAATGAAGGGAAAATAAAATGAGAGAAGTGGGAAAAGAGACTCCCACACGATGAGTGCCTCGCCTCTTATGTCAGAGTGCCCACTGCTGTCCCCCCTCCCCTGGGATCTGGATGTAGGGGTCCCACCGGAGCTTCTGTAAATCATCCCAGAGATCTGAGTGTCATTGGGAGAGCACACCAGGTAGGGGTGAACGTCAGCGGCGTAGGACATCAGTTCTGAGTTTCCGCCGAAGGTGTAGGCTGTGGCCATGGGCTGGAGAAGCGGAGGTGAGCGGTCCTGATGGGTTTTGGCGGGGTAGGACAGCGCCAGCTGGGCGTTTCCCTGGAGCTGCTGCTGTTGCTGCTGCTGCTGTCGGTGCCGCTCCACTTCAGCTATCAGGGAGTCCCGCTGGCGCTTGGACATCCGCCCAAACTTCACAGCTGGACGGGATAACAGAAAAGGGAATAAACAAAAATGCTGCAAGTGATCAACAAAGTGGATTTGTGAGGCGGTGGCGTGGCTCACCATCCCTGCTCATGCCCTGGGCCAAGCACTTCTGCAGGCGGCAGTGCTGGCAGCGGTTGCGGCTGGCGCGGTCGATCTGGCAGTTACTTTGTCTGGAGCAGGAGTAGGACACGGTGGGTAGCTGGCTGCGCCGGAAAAATCCCTGAAGGAGGAGTTAGTGAGGGGAAACAGGAGCAGGGTTACTGGATCAGAAACAGTGAGTTACAAAAATGTGTTTTATTAAGTGAGTCTCCATGTACACGTTTTAATCAGTAATGTCTAACCTGTTGCAGGTAGCTCTTTGAAAGACCTCAATTTGACGAAACAGAGATGATTTTTGACCAGGTAAACGAGCTAACCGCTTATCCAAGCTATAAGAGCTAACTTGCAGCTATCTTAAAACAACTAAAATCTCAAACATTTCATACTGATTCATGCTAATTTTACTTTTTACACCTTTTGAATTTTGCCTTCCACAGGTTTTTTGAGCAGAACAGCTAAATGCTTCAGAGTGGCATGACTAGCCATGCTGCTGATTTCCTCCTCAAATAACAGAAAATAATAGACAGATAATTCAATTTTAAGATAATGACACCATACGCCAAATCATCAACGCTAACTCATCTACACAAACTCATCTACGCTAACTCATCTATGCTAACTCAAGATGCTAATTCATCTATGCTAACTCACGATGCTAACTCATTTATGCTAATTAATGTACGCTAACTCATCTATGCTAATTTATCTACGCTAACTCATCTACACAAACTCATCTATGCTAACTCATCTACACAAACTCATCAACACTAACTCATCTACACAAACTCATCTACACTAACTGAAGATTATTATTCATCTATGCTAACTCATGATGCTAACTCATCTATGCTAATTAATGTACGCTAACTCATCTATGCTAATTTATCTACGCTAACTCATCTATGCCATCTCATCTACACAAACTCATCTATGCTAACTCATCTATGCTAATTAATTGTACGCTAACTCATCTATGCTAACTCAAGATGTTAACTCATCTATGCTAACTCACGACGCTAACTCATCTATGCTAATTAATGTACGCTGACTCATCTATGGTAATTCATCTACGCCAACTCATCTATGCTAACTCATTTATGCTAACTCAACTATGCTAACTCATCTATGCTAACTCATCTATGCTACTTTATCTACACTAACTCATCTATGCTAACTCATGATGCCAACTCGTCTATGCTAACTCATCTATGCTAACACATCTATGCTAACTTATCTACGCTAACTCATCTACGCTAACGCATCTATGCTAACTTATCTATGCTAACTCATCTATGTTAACTCATCTTAGACCTGAAGGGTTGACTCTCAGTGCCAAGTTGCAGCTCTAAGAGACATCAGTGGCAATCCGGTGATTGATACTATAATTACTAAACATTAGTATAGGCTAAGCTAAGTCACAGATGTTATCTTACGCTAACTTAAGCTAACTCATAATGCCAGGTTGAGCTAAACATCTGTTTCTATACACTGAAAGGTAATTATGTTGAAGTCTGGTATTTTAACAATGATACAAAAAAACCTACTAAATGAAAATGTTAATCTACCATAAAATGATTAAGAAAACTGCTCATCTAGTGCATAAAAGTAAATAATTCTGTTCAACTTGAGAGTCGGAATAAAATTTATTTTATTGGGAAATAATAATTTAAAAAAATCATCAAGAGAAATGCAGTTCATTACCAACAAAAATACAATCAAAACAAGAGAAACCAAAATACCTACATTTTTTTTTTCATGAATGTGGAAATTGATTTGTCAGTATGCAAGCCAATTCCTGCCACTTCGATAAACCTAATAAAAACGAGATAGTGTTTTATTATTATGACTTAGCCATCACATAATTAACTGTCTCAAACTATCTCATAATTATGAGAAAGGTTAATATGAGATTTATTTTTTTTATCAGAGAGGCGAGAATGGGCTTCCATAGTGGTACTTTGAAATAAAGCATTAAAAAACTCTCCAATACATCATGGACACGTGATTGACTTTACACCACCTGCAGTGAGCCTCACCTTACAACCCTCACATGTGATGACTCCATAATGCACTCCAGAAGACTTGTCACCACAAATCTTGCATGGGATCACTTCGATCTGAGCTGAATGGATGGAGAAATAAAAAAAAGCTGCTGAAAAATCCACCATAAGCTTCTTTACTTCACACAGACCACACCGAGTCAGAAACATGCAAAAACACAAAGTTTAGGTTTGCAGAAGTTATGCAGCCCAACCGTAATTTCAGATGAATGGATGATTCTGAATATCAAAAAAAAAAAAAAAAAAAAAAAAAAAATCCTTATTTTTTAAGTAAAATCTCTGCCAGCGTGCCCCAGGGTTGCCGTAGCTAGTGTGTAGCTAATCCGCTCTAGAGTTTGAATACATGTGTGAATGACTGGTGGGATGTAAAGCACCTTGGGGGGTTCTGTAACTTTAGAGAGTGCAATACAATACAGATCAACCAATTCAATGAAGATTAGTAAAATATGTGGAAGAACCATCCAATAAATGTACAAAATCAAACTGAGAGAAAATCACATCTTGCCAGATTAAATGACTAGATTTTTATTCCCTGTTCATTATTTATAAATCTGTAAAGGTGTTTCAAGGCAGTTCTAGTCTTTAACATTCTTAGATGTCAACGTTGCAGCATAAATACTGCAGCGTTCTTATAGGCCAAGTTCACTTCAACACATATGCAGTGGTTTCTGGTATAAATAAATGCCTTGTGAGGGGATTTGTGTGGAGAATGTTCTGGATCTTCTATTTCAGGAACTAGAAGTGAGCCAGAGCAACGGGGTAGGACCTGGCTGCAGACGTCAACTCGCGTGTCACCGGTGTCGGTACAGGATCGGCTCGGGGTCCTTCGACTGCCGATGACGTCAAAAGTAGTTGATTGGCTGAACATGAAGCTTACGGAAGTGACGTCATCACGTTATGCTTTTGATTGGTCAGAACAAACTTGCGGTCGTAGTCATAGCGGTTGTAGTCCTGTAGTCCAAAAATCAACACTTTTTGGAGAAAACATGTTTGAATTTCTAAAGGAAATGTAAAATATAAGCAAATGAGAAACGGTGACCCTCAAAAACTCTTGATGTTGATGAAATGGGGCAAAATAAAATATAAGAACTTTATTGAAAGACACCAAGCAACATTTGAGTCAAAGAATGTATTTAGATAGCAACTAAGGAAATATACAGACGCAATCCACATTAATACAAACACATGTGGCTTCACATATAAGAACTGTTCTATTGTTTGTCAGTCCGATGTTGGTTTTATGCAGTTTCACATTCTTTACAAAACAAAGATAATATGGTGTTTTATTAACAAATTACAATTATAAAGAAAACATTTAGGTGTTAACAAACAAGAATTTATTAACAAAACTGCTGATGTCTTTCCAAAACGTGTGTGTGAAAGCCGAGTAGATGTGCAGTGATGTGACGTCCTCGGCAGTCGAAGGACCCCGAGCTGATCCCGCACCGACACGGAAAGAACTTTCGAACAAGAACATGATGGCGTGTCTTTTACCGGAAAATCGACGAGCGAAAGACCTCGGCCGGAAGCCGGTCTATTTTGGCGGCCGCTACATTGTTTTTGTGGTTTTGTTTCAACCATTCTCGGTGGGTTTCAAAGAGGAAAGGTAAGGATGAAATTAACTAACGTTTGTAACCGTTCTTAGTTCTTAAATGTAGGCACTGTAGCATTTGAAGCTTTACTAGAGAATTATTGCAAAGGCACCGTGTTTCATAGCTAATCGTATCAATATTAACACGCAGTATTAAAACTAATGCAAGGAGTTCACAAGCTAACACAAAAGCTACATCAACAAAGAAATCAGCAATTGTAGCTTAGCTTTAAATTAGCTATTTGATTTTTCTGGTCTCCCTGTTTGTTAAACAGTTAAAGTAATAATATTAACTTTATATATGATTGAGATATGATATAAAGACCACAATTTCTAATACTGACTTGACTGAAACGTTATTAATACCATTTTTTTAATTAAAAAGCTTAGATTTTCAGAAATTTGTAAGTGATTTCAATCACTAGTTTTCATACGAGCCTGAAGTTAGCTTCCAATTCCAGCTTGGCTAAAGGGCTAATACACCCAAATTTTCTCTACTCTGACCATTTTTAATCTGCTCTAGCTCAAAAATTACAACACATACACTCTTCAAACCTGTTCCAGATTATTCCAGGCTCGTAGCAGAATGCATAAAACATAGTTTGAGATTTGTGAAACCTTTCTCTGATTTGTGAAACTTCAAAAAAGACAGATTTATGAATTTATTTTTCAGCATCTGGCCCACACTGGAACTGGTCCTGTGCACCCAAAAATTATTTTTTTTTCTGGACAAGCTCCAGATATACACAACCTGATATGTTTAAGTACATATCGAAGAGAAAAACGACACAGTATGGTTTTTCTCGTCAAATCCAAACTACTTCCGGCAAAGGAATATGGCCGGCTAAATCCAGATAAAGGCAACGCATTGAGGAGTACTTTAAGAACAATGACCTGCAGAACATGTGGAGGGGACTGAGAACCATGGCAGACTACAGGAGCGCCAGCCAGCAGATCAGAGAGGATTCTTCTCTTCGTGACACCCTGAACAGCTTCTTCTCCAGATTTGACACCATTAGTGACAGAGTTGTTGCTGCTCCCATTAAACTGGAGGAGCACAAGTACTGACTTGTACTGAGACACCGCCGGAAAAACCATACATCCCATCTACAAAGACACACTGGATGGCAGAATTACATGTGACGCCACTTGACTGTTAACAGATGTAGTGGTGAAGTGGTTATGGAGTCAGATTAGCATGCAGTTTTGTGCAGGTTTGCCTCCCAGCAGCGGCATAAACTTTTTTCTTCCTTTCTAGCTACACTTGCCAGTACTATGTTTACAACCATTTATTGGTATACCGTTTAAAATATAATGACTAATGTGTTTTTTTATTTGTTTTTTTTGTTTATTTAGCCAGTGTGAGTCCATTCATGAGCAGAGTTTCAACTAAAATGCTGTTTAGGAACGACCAAATTCAAAGAACTTTTAGAGACATAAATATTTTGCAGAAAATAAACATTACAACTAAAATATAAACAAATTAAATGTTTCAGCTGGCTAAACAGATTGCTGCCGACCCCACCGAGAGTCGAACCAGCATCAGCTGAGGGGAAAACAAAACTTAAAGAGCAAATTGCAGGTAAAAATTTTTTTTCTAATTCACATAAAATGCTGTCCAAAAAATCCTATTTGAAATGTTTATTGTGGATATTTAATTTTAAAATACATAACAGCAGAGTTTTCTAGTAAAAAGTGTCCTTTCCCAGCAAAGCTTCTAAAATCCCTCTTTTTTTCTAAATGTGAACCTCTGACGTAACCAAAGGGAGTCAGAAGCTCGGCGCTGCCTCAGCTCAGTGTGGAGAGTGGCTGGTTTTAGGGTAGAGAGGTCATGTGACCCAGTCAGTGTGTGTTTACTGGTGTTGGGTTGTGTTAATGTTGGTAAACTAGTGTGTGTGAAGGCTGTACCAACTCCAGCATGTCTGGACATCGAGTCCACGGGTTTCCAGACAAGAGAATCAGCGCCTCTATCTCCGTGCCTGAGGGCGTTTCTGCAGCTGAAAGGCGGACTTCTGTAGCCCGCATCGGTCGGTACCGGGACTGGGCTCTGGAGACACGAGGCGGGGTATAAAAAATGAAATGTGGATTTCTGGAACTCTGATCACCGTCGCGCGGCTCAGCGGGCCAGTTGGTTCCCGGGTGGGAACCGGATCAGAACCGCCGCCCGGACAACCAGGAGAGGATCATGTGCAGCTTTTAAAAATACCAAATGGACTGGCTTGCTGGTGTTTGGGTCGGATCCAGCTCACAGAAACCCGCATGAGCTCCAGAACTGGAAGCTCTCTCTAAGAGCTAAACTACGTTAGGTGAACGGATATTAACGAGTATGAGATCGCTGACAGACGCTCATTAGTATTAATATTATATTAACTGACCGACACTATTTTAATTGTCTGGTACACGATAGTAACCTGTACTATATTGTGATGTTAGCACACGAGTTTAAGCTAGCATCGTTTACTCCCCCGCTGCTTCTCCTCTATCTCTGCTTTGGCCGATGGTTTCTCCCTCTGGTTGGTCTCTGCTCTCTGGGGCGAGCAGCAAACTCATAACTTTATGGTTCTGGTCCATCAGAAGTAGAATTATAAACATTTAAAGTTTCCTCTGTGTCAGCGCCGCATTAGAATCCATATTTTTCTCTGGATTAAGCTAACAGGACTCCCTCAGATGAAGTCACTTGGTTTGGCAAAAAATAAACTTTCTCACAAAAATGACTCTAAAAGCCTAAATAATTCATGTATTTGTAAAAAAAACTTTTAAAACGAGTTTCTATTATGTTTATCTAAACATTGCTTCATGGGAGTCTCTAACCTGCAATTTGCTCTTTAAGTCAGACGATCGTGCCACTGGACCACCAGAGCCCATACAGCAACGAGCCTTGAATGCTGTTGTAGGCTGCTTTTGTTGGAGCGGCTGTGGGCAGATAGTTGCTAAAAGAAACCTTTTCGTTTCAGGATATATTAAGGCTTTGTCGTGTAGCAAGTTATATTCATCTTGTTTAATTGGAGCATAGAACATAGCATTAACAGTTGTAAACTAGTAACAGCCGTAATTCGTGTGGGTCAGGTTGGTTTGCGATAAAGTTAAAAAAACAAAAACAGAAGAAGTCAGTGGGCTAGGCTGAGCTTGTGTGAATGGGCGGGGCTGACTCTGGTGCAGCTCCGCCTTTGTAGTTCTGCAGCGAGCACCCTCCTGGATTTCCTGATACTTGGACATATTTCCTCTGATGGGCTAACAGCAATGCAACTCTCTACCGTTGCTCTGCAACGTTGATGTTTTATCTCCACAGTGGAGTTGCTAATGCTAACGGTTAGCTTCTACTAGCCAAGAAATGCTCTGCTCTCTCCTGGATGCTAAATCAACAACAGCGTTTCCTGGTTGCGAGCCAAGACGGTTGAGTCCATGAATGCTAATTTTCAGTGTGACGTAGATCTGTCAGGTTTCTCTAATCCGAGCGTTTCCCCATCTGTT